ATTAAAAGATATTTCAATGAACGTTCCAAAAGGACAAAGCTTACCGTTCGATTTAAATCAAATATCGCTATATGAACTAAGTAAAATGTCAAAATTAAATATAATTTACATAAACGAAACATTAATATTCGAAATAATAATACCACTAATAAACTCAGTTGATTTAACATTATTCCACGTAATACCACTACCAGTAGTAAAAAATGATCATTATATGCACATAATACCTGAATATGGGTACATAGCCATTTCAAAAACGCATGAATATTATTTAACATTATCGTTTAGCCAGCTACTGATGTGTAGACAAATTAATATGGGAACATTATGTCCGGAAACACAACCATTAAGACTAGGAGCCAGTGAGCTGCCATGTGAAGTAGAACTATTTATTAAACCATCGAGCATACCTAACACGTGCCCAATACATTATCTAGACATCACTCGTAGTATTTATCATAAACTAAAATATCAGAACGCATGGATATATACAATAAAAACAACGGACAATGTAGCCATCTCGTGCGAGAATCGAGACCAGGCGATGAATATACAATTAAGCGGGATAGGAATATTAAAATTAAACGAGGACTGCAGGGGATACACACCACAAATGGTGCTAACACCGAATAGGCATTTAAATTCGACACATTATAAGGATTTTATATCAAACATAGGCATAACGTCAAATTTGACAATCCCCATTTCCATAAAAAAGAAAATAAGCAATGTCATAACACACACAAATTCTGTGGTAAAACTAACTGACTTGAGTCAATATTCTAAATCCATTGATGAAATAGAACAATTAATACAAGAAGAAAAGGACAAAACGACCACAAGGGATATAACCGATTTTCACACTTATATGTTTTATCTCATAATAATAATAGCATCGGGCATAATTATAATAAAATGTAAAAGAAAAATGAATAATAATCGATCAGTAAATAGAGTTAGGCGACATTTAGTGTCACTACAGTCAGCTAGAGAAATGGACGAAGTAACACGTTTGTAAGTAAGATCACGTACACAAACACTCTCAATTTCATGTTCAAAATTATGTTCCAATATTAAACACGTACCTTTCCTATTACTAAATAATATAATAATTAATAACCAATCGATGTTAGTATCTTGTCTTGTTCCAGATAAGACAATCACACGGAAAATCCAGATTACTTTTATTATACAACGCGTAAAAAACGTATAAAATACATAACAACAATGCCAGTACGGGAATTCATTCCTAGACGGGTATTATACCTAATGATGTTAGAATATTCGTTGAGGTACAACGATCACGTATACCAGTACACGATAAACAGTGATGGACCTACGTGTCTAAAAAACCATATGAGAGTAGCCAATGAACATTTACCGGTACCTTATACTACAGCGGAAATGCATAGAATTATGGAAATAATTACTATGACTCTCCGATTAACAATTTTAGTACGCGAAATACACGCACCCACATGTCTGGATTTGGCAAATTTAATAATCGAATTAATACAAGCCGCCGAGGCAGCTGAATAAAACTAACATAAGGGATTACATTTAAATAGATAGTAATACTAATATCTCGCAATGTAAAAATATTATCTAAATAAAGTTGTCTCACATTTAATCATTATATATATTTTACAGTGACAAAATCAAATTCATAATAGTGGACTTCGAGTTCACTAGTATAAATAAGACGGATCTGTTACTTATATCGGGGTCATTATCAAACAGTCTCGACAAATATAAGCCAGTTAAACTCGAAGGCAAACCAATCGTGTTAACTACCACCAATAAATTAAAGATGTTACAGCATCGCGAAATCAAGCAGGTAATGCGTAGTGTTGGAAGGATATTTAGGAACAAGCCAGAGAAGTTAATACCTTTATTGGGGCAGTTAGAATCAAGTCTAAAGCTCGAGGGGGCGACAACTCTGTCTACCATATATCTCAACCAATACTTGCATACCGACGGAAGAACACCAATCATTGTTTTTTTCAACGGGACAACCGATAAAAATATAATAACCCGATTACAATTAAATGTAAAGAAAATGTTGGATATCACTTCATATAACAAGGTTGATCGTGGTCCGGTCGAAGTGTTTGGTTAGGATTGAGGTGATGAAAAAAATACAACACAAACACTTTAAGAATGTCACAAATTATGTATTATAATATTGCGACCAAAATATAATAATACATGACGTGCCGCTCGGGCAGATGAGTTTAACGTCGGACGATATGTTATCGGTCCGACGGTCCGATGGTGGATTTCGAATCGCCTTTTCCGCCGACCGTTGTACGTCTTACGCGACACAGTCCCCCCGTCCGGCCTTGCCGTTGCCGGCTCGGTGGGAGAGTCAACCCGGTCGCGCTGCTTGCATCCCGTGGTGGTGGTTGGAGATAAGATAGACTGGTCGCTATAGTGCTTGTACATTGTACTTGCTACTAACGCGGGCCGCGTCAGTTATTCATATTATCTTAAACCGTGGTTGAGTTTTATCGGTAAGGATTTTGTTTTAGTTATCACTTAATTGAGTAAATAATGAAAAAGATAATACAAATTAAATAGTGATCAACGACCAATATTAAATTTAATAAACATAATAATATTATTATTATGATGATAATAATATTATTAGGTGGAACTATGTTATGGTGATTTACGTTAAATGTTTGTTTACCTAACTATATTTTTATGTGAATAAAGTTCCATAGTCTAATAAGTAATTAGTTAAATAGTCTAAATCAGAGGTTTCCAAACTGTGGGTCGCGACCCAAAAGTGGGTTATTTTTTTAAATAATACAAAAATATAATCATCTATTACTTTTCGTTGATGTTCAAAGTTCAAATTCAATTTTATCGTCAATCCTTATCTGTGAGTGTGACAATTACAATTGAAAATCAAATAGAAGTTGATGATAGCATTATTACATCTATTTCTGATCATTTACAAACACTAAAAGATAATTTCGATTCATATTTTCTGAGTGAAATGGAAAACTATCAACAAATGAAATGGATTTCAAATCCTTTTCAAGAACATGATATGACAAGTGGGTTATCAATAAGAGCTAAAGAAGAATTAATCGAACTATTTGAAGATAGTTTGTTTAAAATGAAATTCAATCGAAAAAAATTAATAAGTTTCTGGTTATCAGTTCAAGAAAATTATCCAACTGTTTCCAATGAAGCTGTAAAGATGCTATTCCCATTCATTTCATCATATAATTGTGAGGTTGGTTTTTCGGCAATGGTCGCTATTAAAACCAAATTACGGAGCAAATTGAAACTTTCAAACTCACTGCGTCTCAAGCTTACCAATGTTGAAGTGGATATCGATGATGTGAAAAAAATAGGAAACAATTCCATCCTTCACATTAAAATTATATACTTATTAAATTACTAATATATTATACTTTTTTTTTAGTAACTACATAAATTATATACTTATTAAATTACTAATATATTATACTTATTATACTTTTTTTTCGTAATTACATACAATTTAATAAAATTCAAAGGTCATTCATTGATATTGTGGGTCGCCATATTTTAAAAAATTTTCAAAATGGGTCGTACAATAAAAAGTTTGGGAACCTCTGGTCTAATTAATTATTTAATTACAAAAATGTCTAGACAACGATCAAAAAGAGCAAAATGAATTGCGTCAGGCTTAAGTAAAACTGATTGTATCCCGATTGCAGAAAAGAGAAAAGTATATTATAATTCTACAATGAACAAATTCAACAATGAATTGACAGCTGTATCAAATTTAAGAAAATCTAAATGTTTACCCATTATAAAAAGTACCCTAAAAATTATGAGGTAATTATTTTATTATAGTATGCATAATAAAAATGCACAAAGTCTAATTAATAATTAGTAATTATAACTCTGATAAATATTTTGTTTAATAAGCATTTAATTTTATTTGTTACTTTTCAGTATATTAATTTAAGTCATACTAAGAATCAACTTGTACAAAAGTGGTTATATTCGCAATGTACGGAGTTATTTATTCCACAGTATTCAGAAACTCTAATGGACCAACCCAATAATGAATTTACTGTTACACCTGAATCAAATTTAGAGACATCTGGAATTGTGCCTATAGTAGAAATAAAAAAAGTAATTATTTATGTATTTATTTTAATAGTGCCTTTTATTACCATAGATAATAGTTTAAATTTAATAAAAAATTTTATTTATTTATTTTAATTGTTTTTATAAATTCAATCAGAACATTTCAAACCCAGAAAATGCTACCGATAAACCATTATGTTTAGAATTGAAACCTATGGATCCTTTAGTTTCACATGCTCTCAGTATTTTAAGGAAAAAAGGAATACTGAATTAAATATTACTGGTATACACAACTTTATAATATAATTAATGTTTATTAATTTTTACAATAATGTAATAACCTAGATTAATTGAATTTGTTTTAGATATTTTTGACCAATTATCATCAGTTTCTGAATATGATGACAGTACTAAAGATGCAAATTATTTACCACCAGGAGATCATAATTCATTAGCATCATCAGAATCTAATGATCATTCTAATGTGGTGATGAACCAGCACTTAAATGTTGTGGAAGATACATCACCAGTTAAAAGTATTATAAATAATACCAGAAAAAGATTAATTCATAAAAAAAACTGGCAGAAAAATATTAAAAAGCAATTAAAAATTCTGGTAAAGAGTATGTTTGTGCTAACGACAAAGTTAAAGCTGCAAAAATAATGAAAATGCCCTGCAATGAAAAATCTAGACTGAAATGTACTGATAAATTAAAAATTTTTGAACGCGCTATTATACACAATAATTATTGGAAATTGGCTGACATCAATAAGCAAATAGAGTTTATAATCAGACATATGTGTACTATTAATCCTAAGTATAGATCAAAATTACCAACCAATAGATCTCTTAATTACAGTTACAATTTTACAGTAAACGATGAAAAATAAAGGTATGTAAAACAATGTTCATGAATACACTTGGTATATCAAGCAGAGTTATATTTACTACAACCCAAAAGATGTGTGATGTCATATTAGAAGTAGACAAACGTGGCAAGCATGGTAAACATGGACTTGCAATAAGTTTAGAAGTGAAAGATAACATAAGATCACACATAACTTCCTTTCCTGCAATTGAATCTCATTACTGCAGGTCAGCAACATCAAAAAAGTTCATTGATGGGAGTTTGAATATAAGTCTTATGTATAAACTTTATGTTGAATATTGTATAAATCAAAATTTAGTTATGGCAAAAAACATATCTATGAAACAATTTTTAATGAAGAATTCAATATTTCTTTTCATTCCCCCAAAAAAGACCTTTGCATGTGCTGTGAATCATATAAAAACAAAAGTGGTGATGACAAGTTGATGAAGAGAACAAATATAATGAACATCAACATGAAAAAAATTTGAGCAGAAAAGAAAAAAACGAGGATAGTAAACTAGGTGAAGATGTTGTGGTTTGTTGCTTTGACTTGCAGGCTGTACTAATTACTCCTCGGGGAGAAGTCTCTCAACTCTATTACAAACGTAGATTGGCAAGTTACAACTTTACTGTGTATGACATCAAAAATAACCAAGGTACATGCTTTTTCTGGCATGAAGGTATCAGTAAAAGGGGGTCAAATGAAATAGGATCATGTTTTCATTTGTTTTTACAAAATAAAGAAGGTAAAGACATCATATTTTATTCGGACAATTGTGGAGGACAGAATAAAAATAAGTATATAATTTCCCTTCTTATATACTGTGTGAAACAATTTAGCATCCGTTCAATTACTTTAAAATATTTAATTGTTGGACACACACAAAACGAGGGGGACTCTATGCATGCGAGAATTGAAGATGAGGCTAAACGAATTTTAAAAGGTGGGCCCATATATGAGTCATCTCAATGGGTTTCAGTTATAAAATGTGCAAAAAAAACAGGAAAACCATACGTTGTACATAAATACAAAAAGATCAATTTGTTGGCCTTAACGTATAAATTCCGGACCGTATAAATCCGGAACGTATATCTCCGGAATCCAAAAGTGAAAAACCGTATTTGGCCGGAACGTATACCTCCGGAATTAAAAAAAATACTAAACCGTATTTGCCCGGAACGTATTTATACGGACCGTATAATTCCGGAACGTATATCACCGGAATCCAAAAGTTAAAAACCGTATTTTGCCGGAACGTATACCTCCGGACTTAAAAAAAACTTATAAACCGTATCTGCCCGGAACGTATTTATCCGGAACGTATATTTACGGAAAGTATTGTAAATTGCCTATTTGAAACCCCTGAAAAAGAAAGTTGAGAACTTTATTGCCAGTAGCCTAGGTAGACCCGAGCTTTCATTGTTATCAATTAATATTCTTATTGTGTTCATTTTTATTTATTACAAAGATAATATGTGATCACTGATCATAATTTGGTCACATTAAATTATAAGAAATTGTGTATAAATAAAAATAAATAATACCCATAACAATATATTTTTTATTATTCTTAGTGGTCAATGAAGCGATGAATATGAATTTACTTTACAATAATGTGTGTTTTTTTATTGAAATCTGTTTGTAGTTAAAATAAATGCTCTGTAACTTAGGTTAGGTACCTACCAAAAAATTAGACAGACTTCGCTCAGAATCATTTCTTGTCGTGTGCTTTAAATTTAACACATCCATTACAGTTACATACTCAAATATTTAATGATGAGACACATTTGATACCTACTGCACAGTAAAGCTGTTAAATACTTGACGATTTTTTATAATCATTGCATATTTAAAAAAACAACTTTTTTCAAAACATATATTTATACCTTCACAGAGTTGTATTAAATAATAATTAAAACGTATGTTGTATGACCACGACAAGATGAACGCGTAATTTGTTTTTAAGTAAGTAAATATTCGAACGCTGTGGACCATTCAGTACGCTTCAGAACTATAGAATTTGGAGTTTAAAATAAGATGCAGATACATTAACAAATTACCATATTACATACCATATTATGAGAGCTCGATGGATATTTTTTAAAATAGTTTACACAGGCAATCTGTTTAATTCATTAATTTATGAAGTTCCTGTTTAATTGGCACATGCAGTTAACTTTTCCAACAATATATATTATTTATTTATTTAATCATCATAAACATTACATTGATATATAATATAATATTATATGATGTTATAATAAAATAGGATGATATAGCCAAAAAAATGCATAGTATCATAAGTACAACAAATATATATTTATATTATTATTTATTAATAACCAAAAAGGTTTTATATTCATTTTAATTGTATCTTAGATAGGTATAAATAAATTCTTATTCATAGGTAGGTATTGCATTAAATAAAAAAACAGTCCAGTTTAGATATTTTGATGGTTGAAAAAATAGTAGAAAATTGTAATATATTTTAAAATATTAAACATGTAAAATACCTAACTATGTATTATTTGCTTGGAAATTTAAGTTTTTAATGCCTTATTGGCTAATACTAACATATTATTATTATTATAACGTCTTATCATGTTAATATTCGTATAATAACAATTAACACGTTGTATTTTAATTTTTAACTGTCCACTATTCCTAAATAGGTACCTTTTTTTTTTTCATGTATAACCACTACATGAGGGCCGTACTGTTTTCACATTGCTTGGCACTAATTTTATTCTTAAATAGGTACCTAATTAACAGGACAATAACGATTTTTGTAGATTTCGAAACATTCCAATGATTTCTTATGATACATTTTCACTGATTTGAGAGTTCTCATAAGTGAGTATTTTGTTTATTTTGTGTTTGGAATGTTTGTCGTTTGGATATTCATAATAATTACGGCCTTAGAAGGCTGTGTTCGTAATATAATTTGATAAGAAAATTATCACGTGTTGCTTATCAATGTTTAACAAATTGTTAATAGGTCTATGTTTTATACCACGAATTATACCAGTGATCCAGCCGTGACGCCAATGGGGAAAAAAATATCTAGATACTCGTTACATATTTATCGCTCGTTATCACTTGTTTCATTATTGGAAAGTGAATATCGTTGGTGCATTGGGGAGGTCAAAATTTTAAATTTCCAGTACTTTTCAAAAGCGCCAAGAAAAACAAAAGAAAAATTAAGTAAAAACGGGAATTTTTACGCAAAATCGATTTTTCAGAAAATTGAATTTGGTTTTTGGTGTAACTTTAAAACAAATGACCCTAGATACATGAAATGTTCACTGGTTGTTTATATTTGCATTTTCTATACACGATCACATTTTCAAAATATTTTGATTTATTTTGAACTGTTTAGGGACATTTTCATTTTTCATTTTTTTTTCTAGAAATATCAACAACATTTTATTTGTTGGTTAAAAAAACTTGAAAATTTAATAGTTCTAAAGTGTACTATTATATATCTATGATAGTATCAGGGTTTGTTATTGATGTTGATGTATAACGTGTTATAAGTACCTAATAGATATTGTGATAATGTGATATGATTAATTTGGAATTTATTATAGGTCAATTTTTTTTTTAATACCATAGATATGTATATAATTTGTCTTAAACCTAGACTGACATACCGTCTTCGCTCCGAATCGTTTTTCTTATACAATGATATTGTATCATTGAATTCAAATTTAATAGCACCCATTATACAGTGACCCATTTGTAACCTACTGTACAGCAGAGTGACATCCACTTACCCACATTTTTTTAGTTTCTATTAAAATTATTTTTAACTTTTCTGAAATATAATTCAGAATACTTTCATCATTACTTTATTGAAAAGTTAGTACCTTCCACTTTATTATACTTTTTTTTTTTTTTTTTTTTTTATTAAATGAGCCACAACAACATAGATTATTGGCTGTTATTAAATTTTACATAAAAAGATAAAACGGAGGGAGAGTTATATAATTCAAGTATGGGGCGCGAATGCGTATTTAGATTAAATTATAAAATTTAGTTAGTTTTAAAAAAGTAAATATCTTTTGGATGTTGTCCGGATCCGGGCCGAGTGCTTCATAAAGATTGTCAGCTAGTTTGAGGTTGACTCTGACGTCGTTGTGTTCTAGACAGGAGCATATGATGTGCTTGACTGTAGGTGTTACGCCACAGGAGAGACATGGTTCGGGATTCGTTTTGGTCATTAGGTGTTTGTGGGTTAACCATGTGTGACCTATTCGAAGTCTATTAAGAATTACTTCATGGCGCCGGGGAAGTGGAATGGTTGGCCATGGGAGAATGCTCGGTTTGATTTCATTTAGCTTAGTACGTAGAGTTGACCAGGTGTGTTGCCAATTTTTTAGAATGTAATCGGCGATGAAATGTTTTGAGTCTTGTAATGTGTGTGAGCAGAGGATTATAGAGTGTGGAGATGAGATGGACTGTTTGGCGTATGTGTCAGCTAACTCATTTCCGGGAATGCCAATATGACTTGGTATCCATATCAAAGAGATAGTCTGTGCGTTGGTTTGAAGAAACGATATCTGGTTCTGGATTTTTTGTGATATGCTATTAGGTTGGTAGTGGTTTTGGATGCTTTTGAATGTGCTAAGGGAATCGCTTAGTATGATAGATTTGTTTATTGAGTCTTGTTTTATAATGTCTAGTGCATGGGAGATAGCCAAGGCTTCGGCTGTGTAGATTGAACAATAGTCAGGGAGCTTGAGCATTCATCTGGTTTCACAGAATGTAACTGCAGCGCCTACGCCGGCTTCTGTTTTGGATCCATCCGTGAAAAAGAGAATATGGTCTTGGTATCCTTCGAGAATTGATTGTAGTTCACTTTTATATATGTTCGGCGTGGTTTCGCTTTTCGGAAGGTAAGACAACTTGAGGTTGATATCGATGTCCATAGTCCAGGGGGAAGTAACCGGACATTCGTGTTTGATTATGTCACAGTATTTGAAATTGGAGCCTTGAAGTTCGGTTCTGATGCCGTGATGGATGTCAAGGTTGTTCTGGGCTCGTCTTGCAGATAAAAGCATGATGTTTTTTTTTCTTATGAGACTTAGGAGTGGAGTAAAAGAGATGTTGGACAAACTGGGAATTGGGCTCGATCGGAATGCTTCAGAGGCTAGTCTTAGTCCTAGGTTGTGTACGGTGTCAATCATTTTTAGACTAGATGGTTTAGAATTGAAAAAGAGGAAGGAACCGTATTCTAGCTTGGATAGGATGAGTGATGTGTATATCTGTTTAAGGGTTGTGGAGTTTGCTCCCCAAGAAGTGTGAGCGAGAGTTTTGAGAATATTCATTCTTAACATGGTTGCTTTTCGGAGATCTTTAAGGTGAGGGTTCCAGGTATTTTTGCGGTCGAATGTGATTCCTAGTATTTTAATTGATTTTGTGGTTTGTATTGAGGTGTTGTACATTCTAATATCTAGTGACTGGTATTTTTTAGTTCGAGTAAATATGACGCTCTGAGATTTAGCTGGGGAAAAACGGTATCCTGATGTCTCGGACCATGCAGCTAGTGATAGTATTGTGTCTTGTAGATATGGTTGTATGATGGATGAGTTTTTTGCGGAACACCAAATGTTTAGGTCGTCTGCAAAGAGAGAAGATTTTACGGGGAATTTGAATCTTTCGCAAAGGTCGTTGATGGCTACAAGGAATAAGGTGACTGAGAGAGTGGAACCTTGGGGTACGCCATTTTCTTGATTGAAGGTTGAAGAGAGATGACCGTTAATTTTGACTTGGAAAGATCTGTCTTCCAGGAAATGTTTGATGAAGAGAAGTAGGTTGCCGTTACATAAGATTTTTTGTAGTTGTTCGATTATCTGGGGGCGCCACGTGGTGTCATATGCTTTTGCTATGTCAAGAGCGACAAGTCCCAAGGCTTGGTTGGTTTCAAGGGACTTAGATATGTCTTTTTGAATATCGTGTAGGCTGTTGTATATGCTCCTGTGTTTACGAAAACCATTTTGTTGAGGAGAGAGATAGCTTATTTTTTCGAGGAACCATCTAAGACGTGAATCAATGATTTTTTCAAGTATTTTGCACAATGTATTAAGGAGAGATATTGGTCTATATCCCTCTGTACTGAATTCCATATTTTGTTGTAAAAGTGGAGGATGAACTGAGTTGCTGATGAGGGTAAGTTGTGTAAGAAGCTGTATGGGATTTCATCAGGGCCTGGAGAGAGGCTAGAACATTTAGAAAGGGCCCAGCTTAGCTCCCTTGCGCTAATGGGGATATTTAGGTGATGTTGATCCTGATTTAATGGGCAGAAGTTGGGTTGGAGCAAATGGTGTCTACTGGTAAGGTTATTATTTAGAAATGATTCATCATAGTTGTTGTCAGAACTGTTCAAGTAGAAATGGTTACCAAGAAGATTAGCAACCTCGATTGGATCGGTGAGAAGGGTGTTATCATTTATTATGTGGAGACCCACATAACACATTTTCCTCTGCTGTTGCCGCGTAAAGATCTAATTTTGCTCCATACAGAACTGGGATCGCTTTTGGGACCTATGGTAGAAGTGAAAATCTTCCACGAGGATGCTTTACTGTGTTTTACGAGGTATTTTGTTTTTGCGCGAAGTTCCTTTAGGCGTATATGGTCCTCGGTTTTGCCCGTTTTTTGGAACCGTTTTAATGCGATATTCTTTTCCTTGATAGACAGCTTGATTTGGGGGTTCCACCATGGAACTTTATTGTTGTTTGAGGTGCCATTTGTTTTACCAATTGCTATGTCTGCTGCACTAGTAATGGAATTGGTTATGTGGACAACGTCATTTTCAATCGGACCATTTGGTGGAGGGAGGTTTGTGTTTACATAAGCATCGACTAGTTGGGAGAAGAGATTCCAGTTGGGATTTTTAAGTTTCCATTTAGTGGGAGATGTAGGGGAGATTGCTTTAGTAGAAAGAAGCTCGATCTTAATTGGGATATGATCACTGTCGTATATTTCCGGTAGAGTTGACCATGTAGTGCGTTGGGCAAGGTTAGAGCTGCATATTGATAGGTCAATCGCTGAGAATTTTCCATTTATAGGGTTGAGACGGGTGGGTTCACCGCTATTGAGTAGTATAATGTTGTCTGTCTCGAGGACTTTTTCGATTTGTTTACCCCGGTCGTCAGTTTTGTCTGATCCCCAACTTAAGCCATGGCTGTTGAAATCCCCCAGGAGGAGAAAGGGGGGCGAAAGTTGTTGTATTATGTTCTCAATATCAGAGGACTTGAATTGTTTTTGGTTCGGTATATATATGTTGCAGATGGTGATACTAGACTCGAGCTGAATGGATATTGCTACCACTTCTAACGGAGATTGGATCTGGATTTGAGAGCTCGGATAGTCAGATCTGACAAGTATCGCTACTCCTCCGCTAGCTCGGTTGCAGGCTGTTCTATTGGTGGTGAAGACGTTGAAGTTTTTGATGGACGGGGTGTGGGTATTGTTGAGGTTGGTTTCTTGTAAGCATATAATGATTGGGTCGTGTTGTTGATTTATTAGTTTTATATCATTAAGTTTTTTGACGAGTCCGTTTATATTCCACTGTATTAATTTTATGCTCATTGTATATCTTTTATTATTTATTATTGATTTTGTGTGGGGTCTGTTGGTTCGTCGGGCAATATTTGAAATAATAAGTTACGAAATTTAGTAAGTTTAGTTTTCATTCTGGAGTTTTTAATCATGGAGTAGGTTTTTTCGATTAGTGCCATTAGTGTGCGTATTTCAATGTTTGCTTCTTCGCATAGAGAGCGAATATTTACTGACTTATTTGTAGAACATTCAACCAGGTACTTGAACTGGGTGTATGTTATTGGCAAGGGTTTATCATCATAGAATAATTTCTGGGCCGGATTGAGGGGATCATCGGGGGTGTCGTCGTCAGTAATTGCTGAAGAATTAGACTGAGATCTTATTTTTTGTTTCTTTTGTTTTGGTTGAGGTTGCTGGGATACAATTAGGAGGGGGGTTGTAGGGGGGACATTAGGGATGATGTATCAGATATGGCTCTTTTGTTTTGGATACTAGTCTGCGTAGTTAGGGGGATTCGTTCGGTATTAGACAAAGCTTGAGGGATCGATATGATGTGTTGTTCATGAGTATCTGCTTCCATGGTTTCCGGGTTGATTTTGTCGGAGGGTATTGGGGGTTGTTGTTCTTCATTGATCTTCAGATTCGTGTAAAGAGTATCGTGTTGAGAAGTTTGGCTTACTACTTGATCTGAATCGAAAAGTGGTGGTGTCGGAACGCTAGTTGGTGTGTCTATGTCAATGTTTTTGGAGGGTGTGGTAGGAGGTGGTGATGTTTTGGTGATAATAGTGACATTACTTTTGCAGGTCTGGGCTGTGTGCCCTGTTGTCTTGCATGTGTAACAGGTAATCGTGTCGTCCGTGAAAAAGATTCTGAACTGGGACTGGTTGTGGTTTAAAATCAGTGACCCAGGGAGTTTTATTGTATCTTCGTGTTTGATGTACATCTGTCTACGGAAACTTAGGATGTGTTCGTAGCCGTCTAGGTTAATTCCAGCTTTAAGGTAGTTAATCTGTGATGTGGGAGATATATCTAGATTGTTTAGGGAGTGGAGTATTACGTGATTGGGTATAGACGGGCATACGTTAGATATTACTATACGCTTTGCTGGGTTTAGTAGTCTGCGTATTTGTATTTCTTGACCGTTTATATTTATTATTTGTGTTTTAGCCAGGAGAGATTCGAGAATTTCTTTGCTGGTTAAGAATATACAGAATCTATTGTTGGAAATTCTTGAGACGAATAGTATATTTCTAGGTTGAACAATTTGGCCGATAGCTAAAATGTAATCTTTTTGTGGAACTCCGTCGATAGAGTTAAATACTATGGCTTGTTCTCTGTTAGGAGTAGTCTCCTTTGCTGTGATGCTAGCGAAATTAGTGGTTTTATCTGTATTATTTATATTGTTGCTGGCAATCAGGTTGGTGTAATTAGTTTTATCGGCGTTGATTGCGGACGCGGCCGTGCTGGCTGTGGGAAGCGGGGGGCTGGCGGCGGTGTTCTTTGCGATAACGGTCCGTTGCGTTAATGAGTTGCGCGAATTTAATTGATTTGGTTTGGTTGAAGGTGATGTAACATTTTTGGAATTGGTAGTTGATGTATTTGTGGTTGTTTTTTTGAGTGAGTGTAGGGTGTTTATTCTACTGATGTTTGATGGGGAGGGCATTTTGCCCGGAGCGTTTCTGTTCATTTCGAAATTGCCGAAGATAGTTGGATGTATAATTATAAAATAATCATATAACCTGATATCGATGCAATAAGATATGACTGGAGTTATGCTATCGAAGCTATAAAAGCGCACTCGCGGTAGGATAACACACGTGTTGCTCTGTCGAGTGAGGAACACGTACTGTTATTATACTTTCTAGATGGTCTAATACTCAATTTATACCTAAAAATCTACCTACCTTATGTATTCAAAAATGTGATAAAATGATTTTAATAAATATATTTTTTTGTGAAATTTTTAAGTAATGAACTTCAATATATTTCTAAAACATAACATTTTGTACAAAATATTGTTTTACCTTGAATATGCTTTTATGTGCTGAAAATTGTATAACAGTTTATTGGAAATTTAATCGTCGAAAAATATTATCCAATTGGAGTTGCATACTTTCAATAAAAAAATGTTAAAACATAAAAATCCAGGCCTACTTATAACCAATGTTTTGAAAACCTATTATATCAAATTTATAGTAGGAATAAAGAACAACACATTACATTGGTGAACACATTATCAATTTATAAACATATATACTTACATCAATCATGTCAATATAATGTTTATCAAAAAATTTATTTTATCATAATTATTTATACATTTTAAGTGAATAATATATTCCATATAGTTTTAATTGGAAAAAAAGTATTTTATTGGAAAGTGTTCAATTGAATAAAATACACTTCAATACTTTTTGATAAACAGTATTTAAAATATGTACTTATTCAATACTTGTAAAAGTATTTTAATACTAATGCTCAAATACTTTACAACACTAACTATAATAAGGTTATAAGCTAAAAAATCAGTGTATAATGCCCCTAGCTGAAGTGTTTAAATTTAAAAAAGGCGGGAAACGTTTGGATGATTAATGGCTGCTATCACACCAGTTGGTAACTCTCTCTATATCAAGGCTCTCTACAGCAAGGTTGTATCAATACACCTTGGAATACAGTTATTAGCACAAATATTGAACGAGTATATAATAAAGTTGTTAACACGTTAAATGTTTTAAATATTCTTGACTTCAATCAATCGTAATTTACCAAAAAAATATTAAACATTTGACATTTTGACCTATCAATAGGCAATTTACAGATGACCAATGGATATAGTAGGTTTTAACAAATGTTACCAGTTTAAAGGCGAATACTGATTGAAACACAGACATGTCATATTGTGTACTGCAACATGAATATAAATATGAAAAACAATAATATTTTAGGTAATAAACTATTCTTAATTATAATTTCCAGGTTTGTTTTTGTATTATTTTTATTGTTTATTTCAAAAGGGTACTATAGATGAGGTTGGTGTATTTATTTTTTCATATTTATTTTATGTTTTGTTAGACAAAACTATATTTTTTAAAATTGAAAAAAATAAATGTACCCTTTTGATATAACTGTATAATATATATAATATATATATATTATATTATTATATAATATTATATAATATATATATTATAACTATAATGTAACTTTATAATAATAATCATTTTTTTAAGTTATTTATTATCAATTGATTTTTATGTCATATTGTATAGTATTGTTTGATGAACAATTTAATATTTCAAAACTAGAAGAAAAGTTTAGTCTAAGAAAATTCTTTGAAAAGTGACTTCTTCCATTCGACATAAAGGGCATCTTGTTGATGCTGGAAGCGATGTAATGCAATTGTTGCAAACCCATGCATGACCACAAGGAATAACAATATACTGTTGAATATTTGCTGCTCTTGTATTCAAACATACCATGCACGTTGACACTTGTGGAGCTATAGGCAGTTGTGGTTCCTGAATAGGCTGTACAACAGCAGCAGCTTCCACTTCTGGCTCAGAATTTGGATCTTCCTCATTGATCCAATTTATATGTCGAGATATATATCTTGATGTGGTATACGAAGTCAATTGCATGAACTGCCACATACTTATGATCCCAGCATCGTATTGACTTGTGGCATTTTTAAGTCTTTTGGATTGTAATAAATATTTTGCCTTCAAACTCCTAGTAGGTTGAAGATTATTTTCAAGCTGCCTCATTATGATATGGTAATTATTAAATAAATTACTCAAATTACCTATAAGAAAAATTCTCTAAGTAAATTTCAGAAACATGAATTATCAGAAGATGCATACTTATTTGTTTGATAATTCATTATATAATATAAATTACATTATAAATTATATTATAAAATATTTATCACAATCCATACATTTATATAATTAGTATTTTCAGTTTACAAACGTTAAAAAATCAGTTTTATAGTTTTAAAGTAGTATTTAATTAATAATATTGATTAACATACTTAAAAATATCCATAAATTGGGATGAGTCACTGAAAATTTTATTTTTAACTTATTGTGGAAACTTTCAATATTATTGTTTGTACGCCTAGGAAGTCCATGAAATGAAATTATCTGAGTTCCCACACGGCGCAACCAATACCTAGTTAAACACAGGTATAAATATATAATAAATAAGTTTTATTTATGGTGTTCAAATATTCAACTGTACCTACAGTACAAACATTACAAACCAAGTATATACTTAATAAGCTACTATAAGTAATTAGGTTTTGGGTATAGATATCAGGCCCTAAAATTAAGATATTTTGCTACTGCACACCTAATTCCATAAAAAAATATTTTAAAATAATGAACAAATAGTGATTGTCTATGGCATACCTATATAACTTCATTGCATAATTTATTGTTTTTGCTATTTATTAATAATAAGTTATAAAAAATACAATCTAAGACAATCGTTTATAAAAGTCGTTGATACCTATATGGCTATATGACTAAACATTTTAAAATTAAAAACGAAATAGGTAGCTTGGGTTAATATACTAATTATACTATAAGCCGCCCCGAGTATGGTGTAGTCTGTATGATTTTTAGTGTTAAGTAATATTAGTCATTTTCAATAATCAATATAAAAAGCCGGTTGGCTTTAAGCTTATAATAATGAAAAAAACCTATAATAAATTCCAAATTAATCTTATCACAATATCCATTAGGTACTTATAACGCGTCATACATTAACAACAAACACTGATACTATCATAGATAAATAATAGTAGGTCCTATACTTTAGAAGTTTCAAGTACCCACGAATAATTTTATACAGTTATTCTAGGTTTTTAAAATGTAATTTCGTCCAAATTTGAACTTAAAATGACTATAAAAATAAACTGTGTCTATGTATTTTTTAAGTTTTTTTGGTAACAGAATTAACTACTTACGTGGAATCTTGTTGTAAGTTTTCAATCATTAGATATAAAAGTTGAACATTTTATACATTTTTAACTACGAAATAATATTATTCAATTTCAAATTTTATAAATTTTGTCAAAATTCGATCTTTATAAATGCTAGTAAAAAAAAAATTGTGCCAATGTATTTTTAATATTTTTCAACTGCTATTGTAACAATATATCAGGAGCCTTGTATTACATTTTTACACTTTTTGGCGCAACAGATAACACTTTATTGATATTTATAAAAAAAAAAAAATTAAATATGAAATTGTCCGCAAATAGCTCAAAACAAGTCAAAATATTTTGAAAATTTTTTCAAGTGTAAGAATTGATAAAATAAACATTCAGTGAAATTCAAATTTTCATGTATTTACAGTTGTTCATTTTTGAATTACAACAAAATAAGAAAATCGCTACATGAGAAATCGAGTGAATATCTAATGTTGTAACAATTTGAATTTCAAACGCTAAAAATATTTAATTTTACTTTCTTATAGACATTTTTTTTTTTGACAAAGGTAGATAATCTTATAAGGAATCTTGTATTACATTTTAAAATCTTAGATTTAAAAAGAAAAATTGTTACGAGTTCTTAACTCAAATAATTTGCTAATTTTCGCGATTTTTCCAAATTTTGTCAACTTTTGAACTCTAAATGCTTATGAAAAAAAACTGTGACTAAGGATTTTTAATATTTTTCAAATATAATTGTAACAATATAGTAGGAGCTTTGTATTAAATTTAAGTATAAAAACTCAACAAATAAAGGTTTGTTGACATTCATAGAAAAACTAATAAAATTAAAAACAGAAAATGTCCCTAAACAGTTCAAAACAAATCAAAATATTTTGAAAATTTTAGAAAATGCAAATATAAACAACCAGTTAAAATTACATGTATCAACGGTCATATTTGTATTAAAGTTACACCAAAAACCAAATTTGATTTTGTTAAATATCGATTTTAAGTAAATATTACGGGGTGCCGCCACTGGGTGACTTCCCCCTCCTGTTAACCAAAAATCATCACATTTACTTATTGTATCACATGTAAATACAGATTGTAAATATATTATGTTTGTTCAATAAAAAAAAAAAAAGTAAATATTCCCGTTTTCCTTAATTTTTCTTTTGTATTTCTTGGCGCATTTGATAATTACTGTAAATTTTAAATTTTGACCTCCCCAATGCACCAACGATATTCACTTTCTAATCGAACAAGATACGGAAGTTGAAAATCGAAGCATTATTTCGATTACTTATCGTGTATACACACAAAAAAAACACACATCATTGTAAAATCTATACATTCATCGTTCCACTTAGAATCTAAAATATTGAATATTAATCGAATAAAAATTTAAAAACGCAGAAAATAAGTGAAATAAGATGGAAATACTACAACAAGCACTTAATATTCTCCAAAATTGGTCAAATAAGACCGGTTTCAAATTCTCTCCAGGGAAAAGTAAATGTATTTGTTTCCACACTCGTACGACAGAGAACCTACAATTATTCCTTAATAATTCTGAAATACCCTTTTGCAAATTCTTACGCGTATTAGGAATGATCTTTGATAGTGAATTAAAATGGACCCAACACCTAAAGGAACTTAAAAGCTCTTGCAAAATGAAAATGAACATAATGAAAATACTTTCAAATCACACTTGGGGTGCTGACACAAAAAGCCTTCTAAATATTTACAAATCACTAATACTATCACGAATAAATTACGGATCAATTATTTATAATTCAGCCAAAGAAAATCTACTCAAAATATTAGACCCGATACATAACGAAGGTATTCGCATTTCAATAGGAGCATACAGAACCAGCCCTATCGACAGTATTTTATGCTACGCTGGAGAACTACCTCTCAAACTCCAAATAGAAAAAGACACACTCATCTACGGCATAAAAAGGAAAAGCACTCCTAATCACATAGGACACAACAACATTTTCCAAAACCAAAATAAAATCCTAACCAACATATCTGGGAAACAAATACCACCCATACCCTTCTCCCGTTTGTGCACAAAGTTTAAAATCCACACATCCATTAAAAATAAAATTACTTTCCCGAAATTTTCACCTTGGCTTTGGAAAACCCACATAAATACCGAATTAACCAAATATAATAAGCATGAAACAAATTCGACAATTATCAGGTCTCACTTCAAAGAAATTATCCAGAGTAAATACTCCATTTTTTCACAAATTTATATCGACGCATCTAAATCTCAACATGGAACTGGATTTGCAATCATCAAAGAAGAAACCGAAATCCTGCATAAGCTTCCTCCGGAGAGCAGCATTTTCACAGCAGAAAACTACGCCATATTAGAAGCAATCAAATCAACAAACCTGACACCTTCATATAACAATATTTTAATAATAAGTGACTCATTTAGTGCTCTTCTAGCTCTCCTAAACCCCTTCTCGACAAATGAAATAACCCAGAACATCCAAACTGAACTATATTCTACAAAAAAAAATATAGAATTTATGTGGGTACCTTCTCACACCGGCATTGCCGGTAACGAGATGGCCGATAAGTCAGCAGACAAAGCAGTTAAAACCATCTTACATCCAACAATCACTGACATACCGGCTAATGACATAAATATTTCCATTCGAAACAAAATAAATATGACATGGCAAAGTTACTGGGATTCTGTTCCGCCTTCCAACAAATTAAAAAAATAAAAAAATGCACCCAAAAGTGGCACCATCTCCATAATTTAAACAGACGACAAGAAGTCACTCTAGCCAGAGTAAGAATTGGACATACTTCCCTGACTCATTCTTTTTTAATTAGAAAAGATCCACCACCCATATGTAATCAATGCCAAGAAGACCTAACCATTCAACACATCATCCTAGACTGCCCAAACCTCCAAAACACCAGAAATACCTTATCAATACCCAACAACTTAGAAGAAGCTCTCCATGAAGACAACACCACAAAAATCTTAAATTTCCTTACACAAATTAACATTGCACACAATCTTTAATCAATATGTATTTGTATTCATAATTTAAGACTCTGTAACCTTTTAAATATGTAATCATTAATGTAACCCACACTATGTAAATGTATTCAAGGCTAATAACCCCAGATGTTGAAGCCTCTTTTCTTTCAATAAAAAAAAAAAAAAAAAAAATAAAAAAAGTACTGCACACTTTTAAATTTGCTACTGCACGTTTTATATTAGCTACTGCACATAGTGTGTGCTACTGCACATAATTTTGGGCCCTGATAGATATTCACCTTTAAATGAATCTAAATATATGTTATAAAAGTCACTGTGATAGTAAAATACAAAATATACATAAAAGTTTCAAGTTACTACTAACAATTTCTTTTGAATTATTAAAAAAAAATACAGTTTATCTACTTTGTTTAAATATCGAATTTCGTAAAAATTTGAACTTCAAATGGGTACAAAAAAAATGTATTTTCCTATCCATATTTATTAGATTTTTAAATTTCAATTAGAACTACTTATGAACAACCATATATTATACTTTTTAAACAAAAATTAAATTTATAACATAGATAAAAAAAAAATGCTAATAAAAGAAATATTATACCATCTACAAATAGCAAAAAAAACCTTTTAAATATTAAAAAAATGATACTATGCACTTTTACTTTTAACCACCTTATTCCCAAAGTACCGATTAGATCTAATTTTCTTCTAGAAAACCCCTTTAAAGACTGAGTTAGAGTAGAACATCTAAACATTTTATCTAAAAAATTATGACAGAGAAAAAAAACATAAAACCATTATACATCAATAGTTTCACAACAATCCAATATGTATTGATTTTTAAATATTAACAACTAATTACCTCTCATAATAGTCAAATAAATTATGCATTGCTACTCCATGGTTGATTGCATACATCTTAATTAATTGAAATGCTCTTTCTATATCCTGATATGGAAGCAATGGAAGGCCAAATAAAAGCTTTAAGCTTTGCAGTGCAAATTGGTTAGTATTCACTAGCCTATAGTATCCTTTACTTTTCATATTTTTAAAAACTGCCTAAAAAAATATTTAAATATAAATAACTTAAGTATACTAATCATTAAGCGAAAATGTAATTAAAATAAAAATGTGTATTATTTAGGTAGGTTATGGTGGAACCAACAACCAGATGTTCGAGCTTCAGGGAAATATGATTGTAGAACATCTCTAAGTGTAGATTCATAATCACTTATAATAATCCTTGGAGAAATGTTTGCTAAAAGATTATCTTTGACATATCGAAATACACTGTCATATGAATTTCTAGACTTCGATTCCATTAGTGCGAATATAATTGGTATTGACTATAGATAAATAAATAAATTAATGAACATCAATTTAATAAATACAATTGTAAGTTAAATTTTTGTTTTAGGTATAATATACTTACATAATTTTGTATCATAGCATGTACGCTCAATAATTGATAGCCCATGTTTACTGGAACCACTTTAAACGTAGCGTCTACATAAAGCTCCTCAATTCCAGTTCCAAATAAACTTTGTGACAAAATTGGACATGCAAATATCAGGCTAGTTTTACCATCAAGGTCACGAATACAGCTCCTAAATATTGTAATGTCACAGCAATTATATCTTTGAAGATGCCCATTATCAAATAAGGTGGCTAGTTCCTGAAGGCTCCCCGGCAATCTAGGCATTACTGACCTGCGGGCCAAACCCATTAAAGATTCAGCTGTAGGCCATGGATATAAACTAGCTGCTATCGGATACCTAAATCAATAAATAAGTATATGCAATTGTAATTAATTTTTCAATAATAAAACTTCAAAAATTTACCTTAGGCACTCTTCGTCATAAATTTCTTTTAATAAAATATTTTCAGTAGCAGCTCTTCTTTTTAGTACTGCTTTTAAAGCATCTACTAATTCAGGGGTATCATCTAAGCGCTCATGATTAGAGTGAGACCTCATCACTATTAGTGTTCCGTCGACCATCTTTTTCATGGTTCCAGGACAAAAGTGCATGGTCCTTTTGCTACATTTGTAATAACTATTGAATAACAATATACAATATTTATAATGAGCTACAAGAATTCATATAAGTTATATTTTCTAATAATTAAAAATTTAAAGCAAAAAAAAAATTTGTTAAATATAATATAATATTAGGTACTATGTATTTCAAAATAATAAAAAGAATCGAGAGTTAAAAAATAAAAGTATTAACAGTCAATCCACACACATTTAAGCACACCAAAGAATAATTTAATTAAAAAATTATTTTAAAATATCAATTTTATAATATCATAGCATACACAATATATTTTGTTATATTTAAAAATTATTTAATTATATAATTATTAGATTTTAGATTCTAATAGAAACAATGAATGTATTGATTTTGCAATGGTGTGATATTTATTTAATTTTGTTGTGTTTGTTTGGATAATCTATTGTAGAAAAATAGATTCGATAAGGGCGGACACGGACGTTTTGGCGCCGCCGTTTTGGCCCTGCCGTTTTGGCGCTAACTCGGTTCGGCGCTATCCATTTTGGCGCTAGCCGTTTTGGCGCCAACTAATATTTTGTTAAATGTTACAATTTATTTGAAATGAAAATATATTGTAAATAATTAGTTATAAAAATGTACTTAAAAAATGACTACAAGATATTGTAAAAATATAAATATAAATATAGTATAGTAAAAAATATTAAATAGTTAAAACACTTAAAACATTAAAAATAATTATTGTAGAAAAACATGAATTTTTATATATTTTAATAATTTATAAATATAAATGATTGGCATATAATCCAAGACGAAAAAATATCAATCGACAATAAAGATCGCACGTTATCTATTGTGACTGTAATAAAGTAAAACGATAAAAGCAAATCATGCTGTCCACACGCAAAACCATTAGATCATATATTGCTTAGAATCTACAACGTCGATTATTACGTCTATAACGGTCGTTATCTATATATGATGATAATATGATATAACAATAAAAGTAAAATTTGGTGTTCACCTGATAGTTCGGTGTTATTTTTGTCTAATACAGTATACAAGCACGCGTTTAGTGAAGTGTTAATAAAGTTTATACACAGTTAAATACAAATCAAATTTAAAAATGGAGAAAATTCAATCTAAACGTGATCGAGAAATGCTTGTAAATGACGGTTACATGTATATTTTTGATAAATTTAGTGCCGACAAACAAAAAAAGTTTTGGAGATGTCGTCAAAAGAATGATTGTTTGGCAAGAATTTATACAAGTATTGACAACTTAACGATTTTAAAAAAATCTGAAAATTTACACACGCATGGTTCTGATGCTGCTAAAGTTGAAACACAAATTGCTATTACCAATATTAAAAAACGGGCATTGTCCACGATGGAACAAACATCATGCGTTATCAATGAATGTACATCAATTCTATCACAAGCGGCAAAGGTACTAAAAAAAATTATACAATATTACTATACAGGTTGATTCTTTTATCATAAAATACTCGTTATTTCGTCAAATATTGACTTTTTTTCTTATTCAACTTATAAAACTTTTATGTTTTTTACCCTTTTGTAATTTATTAAATATTGAAGCCACTAGCAACCTATATTTAAATTTAAAATGTATTAAATTAATAGGGCTATTTTTTATAAACCTATATTTTATATTAGGATTCGCGTATTTTAATTTATATCTTTACATTTTTATACTAGGGTGTTCTTCCAAATAACGATGCATTAAAAAAGCAAATCAGAAGAAAAAGGATAGTTGCTCAGTTTGCTCCACCAGCACCTTTGGATCTGATTTCATTAGAAATACCTGAAATGTATCAAACTTATTCGCCAGAAGAAGGTATCCATGAACAATTTTTATTAGCTGATAGTGGTAAAGAAATTAATAGAATTTTAATATTTGGAAGACAAACGGGATTAAATATTTTGGAAAGTTCCAAGACACGGTTTGTTGATGGAACATTTAGTGTTAGTCCTTCATTATTTTCGCAAGTATACATTATTTTGGCAGAAGACGTAGGTGGTATTCATCCAATAATATACGCACTACCAAATAAAAAAGGTGAAACTTATCGCAAATTATTTACAATGTTGATCGATCTAAATCCAAGATTATTACCAGATTCAATTTCTATTGATTTTGAAATTGCTGCTATTAGTGCAATTAAAGAAGCGTTTCCTCAAGTAAACGTACATGGATGTTATTATCATTTAACCAACAATTTTCGGAAAAAAATGGGAGACATAGGAATGATATCGAATTATAACAATGATGCTAATTTTTCTGTGATGGTAAAAATGATAATTTCATTAGCATTTGTACCAATTGAAGATCTGGACGTGGCAACAGATTTGCTTGCTGATGATTTACCTGACGACATTGTTCCGTTACTTGAATGGTTCGAAGAATATTATATAGGAAGAAAAAATAGAAGAAAAGTGGGTCGTCGATCACCACAATTTCCTCCAGAAATATGGAATTTATATCAAAGGGTGTTAACAAACCAAAACCGCACAAATAATCACGCTGAAGCTGCTAATAGGCGTTTAAATATTCAAATGGGGGTTACTAATCCAACAATATGGTCATTTATAAATTGCCTTAAAAAAATCCAAACAGGAAGAGACGTTTTTTATGAACAATTAGTTACTGGTGGAAGTCCACCAAAAAAAAAGAAGAAATACATTGATAATGATAAAAGAATTTTAAAATTAGTGTCTAATTATGATAAAAATAGAATTTTATTATTTTTAAGAGGCATTGCAAACAATGTTTCATTAGGGTAACTATTTTTAATGTAATAATATTTTGACCTTGTAATAATGTTTTAAAACTTTTTATTTTTACTATATATTTATATTTATACTTTGACTCTATATTTATATTTATACTTTGACTATATATTTATATTTTGACTATATTACCTTGTAATAATGTTTTAAAATTATGCTTTATACTTTGACTATATATTTATATTTTGACTATATTACCTTGTAATAATGTTTTAAAACTATTTATTTTTACTATATATTTTTATTACAATTTTGATATAAATTCTATTAGGTTAGTTGGCGCCAAAACGGCAGGGCCAAAACGGCAGCGCCCAAACGGCGGCGCCAAAACGTCCTAGACCGCGATAAGGGGTGGCGCTACACTGTGGCCAGGGTGGGCAAGTGCCCCCCCTCTATAATTTAATGCTGAACATTTTAATCTAATCTGAAAATGCATATTATATTGAGTATTTTTTATCCTAATAATTTGTAATTATTTATATTCATTTAATACTAATAAGTAATAAGTAATAACTAATGGTATGTTGATATTTAGATATAATCATAATAATTAAATAAAATAAATAATGCTAACAAAATAAAATATAAATTGCATTTATTGATTTTTATTTTAGTTTAGTAAATATCAGCATGATTAACTAACAAATTTAAATTACCTTATAACCCAATGAAATATACCTACATGAACTTGGAGGTACATTTTACAGTTCATGGATTAATTTACAAGTTGAAAGTTAGTAAATTTCAACTGCTACTAATTCTTAAATTTACTTACTCATAAGTATAAATTTCAACTCCTGGTGACTAATATGTACTTACAAGTCAAATAGGTTGGTTAGTTTCAACCACGGTATATTATAGAGGTATTAGCACGGACTACATAATGTGTCTGCCAAAATGTGTTTAATTATTTACCAAATCACCAGAGCGCGTTGTAGTCTTTTGCCCCTAGCATTCCGTGTTATATAAATATAACCACGGTCCACGTTATAACCATCATCAATCCCTAATCCTAATCTTACAAGTTACAATTATTTTTATTAATTATTTAATGAGTAATAAATAATAATCCAGTGGTAGTTGCAAATTTATGTAACAATGGTGAAGTGTTTTATTGTAAATTGTAAAACTGGGTATGCTTCTAACAAAGACAAGGTAGGTATTAATATTTAATTTTGTCTTGTTCTTATTCAACTTGTTAAGATGTTAGACTTCTGACTTTTTATCGATTTGTATTAGTTTTCTTTATTTGGAGTTCCTAAAGATCCACTTTTGTTTGTAAAATGGAATAATATTATTCCTAAACGTGAACGTGAGTTGATGACAAATTCAGCTGTTTGCTCTAAGCATTTTGAACCAAGTCAAATTATCAGAGAATGGACTTCAGGACACATAAAGGTAATTCAAGTATTTATTAATATATTTAATTAACAATATTAATTGTAACTAAAATTACACATAAAAATGTTTATGTGATTTGTGAATACCTAAAAAGTAAGTCAATGTAAAATAATTTAGATAGGTAGTAAGTATGTATTTTTTTTTTTTAAAAAAAAGGGAATTTATTTTATATACAATGTTTTATTTTTATAGTATGCACTGAAAAAACCTCGGTTAAAAGAAGGGGCAATTCCAACAATATTTCCTGATATACCAAAATCTTGCTTAAAAAGTATACCTAAGGCAAGGAAAAGTCCTAAAAAGCGTTTGTTACTATGTGATACTCAGATTATTCAAAGTATGTTAAGTAAATATTGTGATTATGCTTATAAACACAAAGCTGTAAAGTATTTAAGTAAAATATTCATATATTATTGTTTAAGCAGAGTAAAAATGTAACTAAATAAATATATATAAAAAATAATATAAAATATATTACAATATAAATAATTAATTAATATAATAATATAAAATAAATAATATACAATAATAAGTACCTATATATAAGTACTTATTTTTGTATTTGCTGAATAGGAACTTTGAAGTTTTGATCTGACCTTATCCATTAATTGTATTTAAATACTTTTACATAATTTTTATAAACAATTATTTGGTAGTATTTTAAGTAATTGTATTGGTAAATTTTCCTGTAACTGCAAAAATAAATTTAATTTTTAATTTTTTGTTTTTATTTAATGCTTTTTATTGGATGTTTTTAATTTTAAATTATTAAAGAAATATATTTTTTATTACTCTGCTTAACTAT